TTATTGTTGAGTAATATTCCATGGTATGGATGATTAAACAAACTGTTTAAAACAAATTGTTAAACTGTTTTAAACAAACTGTTTATCCACACATTTTTTTCCCCAGGAATATTAGTTTCCAAGTTTTGGTTGCTGAAAATAAAGCTATTATGAATAATTGTGTGTAGATATTTGTGTGGACGTGTTTTGAGTTCCATGACATAAATAGCCAGCTGTGCCATTGCTAGGTGACATGGCAGTTGCAAGTGTATCTTTTAAAAAAACCTGCCAATGTGCCCCCACTGGCTGCTCTGAGAAGCCATCTTTGCATTGTTCCTCGTCCGACTCCTTGCTCGCCGCAGCCGCGCGCCTCCTTCGCCCTCGCGGACTCCGGCAGCTTAATCGCCAGAGTCCTTGAACTCTCGCTTTTTTTTTAAATCCCCGGCATCGGATCACCGGCTTGCCCCACCAGTCAGATGCAGCCGTAGACACCAGCTCCGAAATCACCACCAAAGACTTGAAGGAGAAGAAGGAAGTTGTGGAACAGGCGGAAAATGGAAGAGACGCCCCTGCTAACGGGAATGCAAATGAGGAAAATGGGGAGCAGGAGGCTGACAATGAGGTAGATGAAGAAGAGGAAGAAGGTGGGGAGGAAGAGGAGGAGGAAGAAGAAGGTGATGGTGAGGAGGAGGATGGAGATGAAGATGAGGAACCTGAGTGCTACGGGCAAGCGGGCAGCTGAAGATGATGAGGATGATGTTGCCGATACCAAGAAGCAGAAGACCGATGAGGATGATTAGACAGCAAAAAAAGAAAAGTTAAACTAAAAAAAAAAAACAAAAAAAAGGCCGCCGTGACCTATTCACCCTCCACTTCCAGTCTCAGAATCTAAACGTGGTCACCTTCGAGGAGAGAGGCCGGCTCACCCGCCCACCGCGGGCAGCGCCACCCGCAGATGACGCGACCCGCTCTCCGCCACCCAACCCAAACCATGAGAATTTGCAACAGGGGAGGAAAAAAGAACCAAAACTTCCAAGGCCCTGCTTTTTGTCTTAAAAGTACTTTAAAAAGGAAATTTGTATTTTTTATTTACATTTTATATTTTTGTACATATTGTTAGGGTCAGCCATTTTTAATGATCTCGGATGACCAAACCAGCCTTCGGAGTGTTCTCTGTCCTACTTCTGACTTTACTTGTGGTGTGACCATGTTCATTACAATCTCAAAGGAGGAAAAAAAACCTTGTAAAAAAAAAAAAAGCGAAAAACAACAACAGAAAAACAACCGTATTCCGAGCATTCCAGTACCTTTGTTGTGTATGTACTTAGCTGTACTATAAGTAGTTGGTTTGTATGAGATGGTTAAAAGGCCAAAGATTAAAAGGTTTCCTTTTTTTCTTTTTTGTCTATGAAGTTGCTGTTTTTTTTTTTTTTTTGGCCTGTTTGATGTATGTGTGAAACAATGTTGTCCAACAATAAACAGGAATTTTATTTTGCTGAGTTCTTCTAACAAAGCTGTCTCAAAAAAAATAAAAATTAAAAATTAAAAAAAACCTGCCAATGTATTTTCCAGCATGAATGCATGATTTTACTTCTCTACCAGCAATGTTTAAGAGATTCAGTTTTTCTAACTTGTTGCCAGAATTTAATATTTTCCATATATTTTTAATT